CCCCCCCATCCCACAAAACCCTCTGCTGTTCACCATTCGGAAAGTTCCTGCCCTGGTTCCCCGAGCAAATCCCCCCCAAACCCACAACACGCTGGTCGCCTCGCCACCACATTTCCGCTCTCTCGAGCAAGGGCATGGGAGAGAGATGGCGAACATCTGGGATCACGTGCTAGACGGGTCTCTCCAAGGCGTTGGGAGCATGCTCGAAGACGGTGTCCCCGTCGACTCGAGAAACAGCCTTGGAGAGACCCCGTTGCACCTCGCGGCACGACACGGGCTCGAAGAGATGGCGACGGTAAGTGCACGGGCGACGCATTCCATGAGAAGATCTCGTTCCACACAGACGTGGAGCATCCGTATTGTCGGTGCCATTGGGCCGCGGCGGCTTCTACCGTAAAACTCCCAGCGGTTGCGATGAACACGTTACAGCAGGCGGCCTTGTAGTAACGAATCCGCGAGGACGCGTGTCAGATTTGGGGACCCAATAGCTGTGTCGGGGACAACATCAACGTTGCCATCAGCCACGTCTTGCCGTGCTGCTGCACTTGCCGATCATTTTCTCGATGTTGTGAAGCAAATCGCACCTCTTGAAAATGTCTGTTCCTTATACAAGAATGCTTGCATGATGATGACACAACGGTATCCCCCTCCTGTTCAGTTCCTGCAGTGCACAAACTAAAAACAGCAGTGCCCCGTGGCTGTACACACGTACACAAGGGCACATCCCGTGATGTTGGTGCTTGCAGCTAAATAGGGTACTCTCATACCAATTTGTACAGTGCACGACAGGAGCATCACTGCCCAGAATGCCCACCAGTCGGGTAGGTATTTCCATCGGTTGTCCTCTGCGCGGCAGGTGGTGTACAAATGCAAATTCGCTGAAGCGTTGTTTGGATGCGAATGTTAGATTTGCCGTCAAGGAGGCGGAGATCAAATGCTGTCGTCCCACGCATTTTGTGGCAGGATGCCAACCGTTGCCACACATCTCCTTCATGGTGTATGATGTGGTGATTCGGACGGTCGTTTGGTGCGGCTGGGTATGTAATGGAGAGGAGACAGCAACTTCAAATAATCTTGATCGTGCAGTAGTCTACGTATGCGGTCCTGATCATGATCACCCTTCCATCCCCGTCGCCGCCTTCGGCAACAAATCTAGTATCTACTTCGGCGTATACTGTCTTAACGTCTTAAACCCTCCTTCAGCAGTAGTACTAGTCCAAATGGGGACACTTGGGGGGCACTTTGGGACACAGCACTCAAAGGCCTATTTACTGCACTGTAGTCACCCTAGGCTCCGCTGTATGCAACGTACGTGTTAACCCTTGGTCTATCATGCTTGACTGAGGTGGTACGCTGTGTGATATGCATATGCTGTGTCATGTCTCTCCTGGGCCTCTGACTTGTACTACACATCTCCCGACCCACGTGCCCCCTGTTCGTAAAACTGCTATACATCGCCTGGTACTGGAAAAATTTGCTGACTTGGCTTCAGTAAGAACAGCAGTGTCCCCACGTGTCTTGGGGGCACTTTTTATGCTGAAGCCAAGTCACCCTCTGTCTGGCAAGGAGCTCAGATTCTTTGGAAGGACTGTAGCCTCTCGACCAATGGCTGACAATTCTTTTTTTGGCATTTTCTTTTGCGGAGGGACTGGATACTACTACTGTAGGAAGGTGAAAATATACCTGCCCTTGTTGGTGAGAAACTTCGCCCCAGGATGTGTGGTGGGAAGTCGGGGCAGCAGTCCGGAGCAGCACATGCTGCATAGGGTTGACAGTGCAAAACAGAATGGCATCGATAGGCGCGTGGGTGCACGAAGAACAAGAACCGCCAGTATCTACCTGCCATTCGTTCAGCTGTGTAAGCTTCGAACTGATTTATGTCCAAACTTGAACAACACGTGCCTCCCATTTGCCATGGCACGGCGGCACTTGTGCGTCAGATACGACATGGTCATTAGACCGTAAGGAATGGAGAGAGTGCTAACGCCAGCTGACGACCTGCAGCTACAGAACCTTGAAGGTTTCAAAAGTGCATTCTTCGTTTGGGTGGAGGGCATGCCTCGTAAAGAAAATCACCGCAAACACATGTGCCGGCTCGACGTAGGTCAGACGCAGAGGTGGGCATTCCCCAACCGTGTTCATCTTCTTTGCGCACGCTGATCACGCATCACATCCCTCGTTGCCAACGACGTAGGTCCTGATTGATGCCGGCGCATCTGTTCATCTCAAAGACTGGGAATCTGGCTGGACGCCGTTGCACCGGAGCCTCTATTTCGGCCACATTCGGCTCTCGCTTCTGCTCTTACAAGCTGGAGCTCTCCTGGATGGCGGGAGAGATCAACCTGACCGAGACTACCGGCAGAAGCATCGTGCTCGCTCCCGCTCCGAGTCGGTCTCCTCGACAGGAAAATCCCGCAGCGGAACAAGCGCTCGTCGGCGCATCAACGACGGTCTCGGAGACTTCGAGGGAAATAGTCCTTTGGATGTCTTGTCGCTTGAGCTGCGCAATCATCTCAAAACCGCACGCGAGAGTGGTGTCGGGGGTGATGTCTTCAGCTTTGGTAAGGCAGACTTCACTCTCGGGTATGATTCCTTCGGAAGGGCGGACATCATACCGCCTAGACGGGTGGAGTCTTTGGCCAACCTCCACGTCACGCGGGTCGCTGCTTCAAAGTGAGTCAACAATAGATCAAACGAACGACGTCAGGGAGTACGTGAACTCGTATTGTCCTACTGGCCCCTTCCAGCGTTTTGCTTCCCCATTGTTAAGAAATTCAACTTGGAATTGTCGGTATCGTTGTCACCATGCATACCAAGGTAACCTGTGAAGCCACAATTGCCGATCTTCCCTGAAAACGTACTTCTTGCCTCTCACAGGCACCATTCAGCTGCCGTAACCGTGTGCGGGAAACTGTTCACGTGGGGACACGGCAAGAGCGGACGCCTGGGACACGGGAACGAGGAAGTGTGCATGCTGCCGACTCAGGTAGAGGGGCTGGCTCACCAACCAGTGACGGACGTGGCCGTCGCGGAAACCCATACCGCTGCGCTTACACGCGAAGGAGAGCTCTACACGTGGGGTCGCGATAGGTTTGGCCAGCTGGGTCATGGGTCAGCAGGATCGAGCGGGAGATTCGCCCCGAAGCGGGTAGAGGGTTTGCGAAAGGTTACCGTGGTCGCTGTTGCCGCAGGCACGGAGCACACAGCGGTCGCCACAAGTTCTGGACATGTGAGTGCTCACTGGTGGCTTTCCGTTTCTTCCGTGCGGCGTATGCAGCAGGCTTGCGAGTGACTTGTACTCCGTTGTGCATGGTTCGTAGCATTGGGCTCGAGTTGAAGTGGGACTGGTTCTGTCAACTTATTCCTCTCCTTGATAGTCGTAACGCCTTTGATTGACGACCGTTCCATGTTTGGCCATCGCAGTGCTACACATTCGGGCGGAACAACCACGGACAGCTGGGATTGGCCGGCGTGAAGGAAACGTGCGCACCTCGCGTCGTTTCCTACCTTGCAAGCGGCGCTTCACGGGGTGCAGGCGGAGTGGGAAGACATGTTATCAAGGTGAGTTTGTTGTGGTATTGGGGTGCGCTTCACTCCGCCTTGAACGGGACAACCTGTTTGTTCAATTGCGGAACAGCAAGTGAAAGTTGTGCCTTCGAAGCGTTGCCCAACGAAATCGCTTGACCTGCTGCTGTTTATCGGTGATGTGCTTCGTGTGTGTTCCGAAGGTGTCGGCGTCGGCTCGAAGCACGGTGGTGGTTACTCGCGGGATTGACAGAGGGTCAGGCCTTCAAACGGTGAATGAGGTTCACCAGTGGGGGCACGGGAGCCCAGTCCCGAGCCGCGTCAGTTTCAACAGCGCCAAGGATGCTTCTCCATCCTCGCGATGGCAGACGCACGATGCTCGGGTCGATATCGTGGACGTGGCCGCCGCACGCTGCCACAACGTCGCGCTCGACCGAGTAGGGATGGTGTTCACGTGGGGATTCGGCGCGGACCACCTAGGTACGAAGCTATCTCGGAGAAACGAATTGTCTTACGTTCCCCAGGCCCCATGATGGAAGTTTTTTTTCTCGTGCGTGCGCCCCTTTGGAGTGTCCTTGCGATGCTCGTGCTCCATGATAATGGCAGCTTGCCCCCCCCTCGGAACGTAGTCGAAGATCGAGAAAGGTAGACAATGAAGACAAGTCAAATGTGAATACGACTCCGAGTGCGAAGACCATGTTCATTTGGTTGCGGAATAACGGTTGTACGAGGAGACGGAAGTGTACATGACCGAGCTTGGGAGAGTAGAAGGAAGATTTGTGGAGGTCTTTGAGGCATGGAATAGCCAGGAGAAGATGGTAGCTGTACTGGGGCATAGGAAGTGCATTGAAATCGTGCGTAGTGATATCGATAGGATAGATTAAACTAGAGAGAATATTGTTGAGCCACCTTTGGCAAAGTAGGAAGGAACGATTGGCCATCGGTGGTCGGTCCTACAGGAACAATGCTCCGTCCTATCGAGGACGCGAAATCAATGGTCTTCCCGCTAAGGCATGCCAAACATACGAGTACGACTCCCTAGATCTGTTACGAGTTCGGAGTATAACGCAGAGACACAAAGCACTGCTGTTTACAAAACGAGGAGCTGTAAGGAGCATACATTTGTGAGAATGGAACGTACGGGAAGTCGAGAGGGGTGGTCAATCGCCTGCAGCCGGAAACAAGGAGCGAAATTTCTCCCTTGTTCCCTTGACAACTCGACCCAGGTCTTGACCCCAGAGAGACGCGCACGGCGCGTGGCCCCCAACTAGTGGCAGCAATGCTACCAGAAAACTGCGGAGGGAACCCCATCAGCGTGTCGGCGTCCGATCAGCATTCGTGCGTTGTGACCGATACTGGTGATCTGTTTACGTGGGGAACTTCTGGCGGAGAGGGCGGGGCTTTGGGACACGGATCGAACCGCTGGCAACCACTTGCCAAGCGGGTGCCTAGCCTCAAAAAGGTGATTCACCAAGAGTTCTCAAGGCCACCACATTAAACGAAACGTACCTCGATGAGCATGCCACTGACTTCTCCGAGGCTGATCCATCCAACAGGGCTAGCGACTTGTGTGGAAAGGCGCAAATAAACTCTCACAATCATTCTGCTCTTGCGCTGTCCACGAAAACTGCGCTCGCTTTTTTGTCAGGTAACAAGGGTAGCGGCTGCCCCCGACCACTCCGTGGTACTTCTGCAGGCATCCTGCCCTTCCCTACCACACGGCGCCGCGTTTGCCACCTTGGATGCTCTATCTAACGAGCATGAGGACGGTGGTCAATCGCTGATTGAAGATGAAGGAGAAGACGCGGACTCCGACATTGATGACGGGGATGACAAACGACATGATAGTTCTTCGCATAGTGGAGGGCTTTTCACCACAAACCCTGCCGGAGGGTTTGAGCCGCTCACTCTCAAGCAGTGTTGCGAGGCAAAGTTGGCTCGGGAAGTGGACTTACACAACGCCGGGGCGATGCTTGCCTACGCGGTACGTCAAGAATGCTGTTCTAAGACGCAATCACTGATGTGTGTATGGTCTGTTCTGTCCCCCATACATGCGCACAACCAAGTTCACGTGGTTCACGTAGGCTTCAATGATTTGGAACTAAACACATACCATTCACCACGCTTATGTCTCGCTTCCGTTGTACTTGGTTGTGTTCCCTCGACTTTCCAGGATGCGCTGGATGCTCCTGCGTTATTGCTGTATTGCGCGGAGTACGTAAAGCGGAATCTCGATGCTGTGCTGGTGCTTGGGTGCGCGAGCACAACCTCCTGCCTTTTGGAAGCATCTGGGGAACTGGTGAGTTGTTGTGGCCATGCTGGGGGTTGTTGGTGGCCGTTTTTGAGCAAATGACATCGCTATTCGGCGGGGATCTTTCGGGCCGGTGTATGCTCTCGTGCCCTTGGTGTACCATGTGTGTTTGTTCGCTTTTGTATGTTCCATCAGTGTTGCGACAATCTCTTCGGCTGTTGGTTCATCGTGACAGGTGTCCTCTTTGCTGCGCGGTGCGCGATCACGGGAACCAACAGCTCGAGCATCTGCTATGGCCGAGCTTTCTGTTGCTGATGGCGCAGGGTTCGGCCTGCACAAGGAGGAGGTGAGAGTCCCAGACTTTCATTTGTCGGCGATGACTGTTGTTGGCACACATGACCCTGCCGCTCTTTTTTTCCGCGCGTCACGCACCCGATTTTTCTCCTCCACTGGTTGAACACTGTTTTCGACCGCTATGGCCCACAGGGACTGGACCTCGAACTGCAAGCGACCGCTCTAGCGCGTGCGGACATGCGGGCGAAAACCCCATCCGCGAAGGTGGCTGCCCGAGCTGTGCGCTCTCTCAAGAAAAAAATCGCTCGCGTAAAAGAATGGGAACGCATGAGAGAGAGAGGAAAGGACCTCTCAGCGGACCAGGTGGGTTTTCTAATAGTTCGTTGCTCCCAAACTTCGAAGAGAGGCCATCTTTTCTAGTAGGAGGCGTGCAGATAGTGGTACATGTTACGACAATTCATGACGCGCTTTGTTGGTGTTGTTTTCCGGAGTACTACGTTGTGTGGAGACAACAACCTCACCGGTTTGTGGGTCGAGTACAGAGTGAATCGATGAGTTCAGGCACGACTGACGATCAGATAGTGTGCTCGGCCCGTCGTTCAAGCAGAAATTTCATATGTGCCCAGCAATGTGTGGTACGTGTTTGCACGCCTCGTTTTGGGACATGGAGTGCACCTTATCGATCTGCACCGGCGAGAGTGAGGGTTCCTTCATACAAATGCACACGTCACAACTGCAAAAGTGAGTCCAATTTCTGGCTGGCAAGGCAGGGTCGTGCGGAGGGAAAGGAAAGCGCACGTTTATTGATCGTATGCCTGTACGTGTAAGACTTTTCAACCCCTTCGTTGTTGGCCATTTTCGTCGCATTTTCTCCACGGTATTCGGCGGTGTATAAGGTTCGTCCAGACACCAAGGGATGTCAGGGTTTATGAACTACCATGAATGAAGGACGTAATAATGGGCGAACATGTTGATTTCGACACAGCGGGTTGAGTGGAGGTGTGCTGGATACCTCTTTTTCACATGAGCTGTGTATGCATACCCGAACAACACTTTAGTTCTGGCTTACATGGGCATCCATTTGCTGCTTCGCTTGCGTCGGCTATCATCTAATCGTGTGTCATGACAGATCTCGAAGGTGGACCAAGTGGGTCGCATGGAAGCTGAGCTGACCTCGCTCGACTCTCAGCTGGAGAGGGCGAAGCTAGCGCAGGCGGCGCGAAGTAGCAGGCTGGAAGCCGGCAGCGCACGCGCAACGGAGGCCAGCCTAAATAGCAAGACGCCGGAGGTGAAGCGAACTTTGTTCCGCGACGAGAGTGGTATGGATGGTCGTCACAACCCCGCCCTTGATCCAGATCTCGATGCAACTTCGGCAAGCTCTTTGAAGACGGGTGAATGGACACCCCAGCTGGACTTGTCTCACGACGATACGAAGGTGAACAGCGTTATTCCCTACTGTATGCGATGTACTCTCTCCTTTGTTTCGCCGTTTTACTTGTGGCAGTCAGCCCGCCGTGCTCGATGCTTTCGCGCAAGCTTCGTCCCGTTCTGGTGTACGTTTCGCGCTGTTTTATTTTGCAGGCAACCGAGAAAAGAACGATTAACTGCGAGGCGTGTTCGATCAACTGCGCTAGCGCTGCCATGTACGCCGACCATCTGAGGGGGAGACGGCACAGGTAAGCGGTCTATGTAGATGATGAGTACAGTACTGCACGCGAGAGTTTATGTATCTCCTCCTACATTCATAGATGCTCTCGCAACGCGTATTTCACATCGTCGGCACGTTTTTGTCGGCTCCGTTTGCTCATTCCTTTTACAGAGCAACGACACTCCGGCTGGAGCAACAGCTCCACAAAGCGACGGAGGACTCGCAACCTGAACCCCAGGTTCCTCGTTCGTGGGCAAGCGTTCCCGCTGCGCAAGATCTTAGTGCGGCAGCAGCTGCAGCCCCCGACGCCGCAGCGAACTGCGGCACACTTCCAACAAATGCGAAGTTGCCACACAGGGGCGACGGGCGGCAGGCATCTTGCCCCGAAGCCAATCTATCTCAAGCCCATCAAGCTCGCCGTCCATCCAACCAGCTGCCTCGTGGCAAGGAGCTTAGCACGATGCGACATGCCCTGGAAGGTCAGCAACGGGCTGCTACCATGCTCATGGGATCTGCGGGCAAGGTACGATTTGCTCTGTGGGTACTAGTCCCGGCCCTGCAATTCACTGCCGCACGAACGATTTGCTTCACCAACGAAAGAATAATCTTGTCGCCATGTTGTCCTCATAGCCTCCGTCCCGACTCCAAGATAACCGGATGGAACAAGAAGATGCGAAGGCATATTTGTACAGCAAGGCAGGAAGTAGCTCACGTTGCCGCGAACGTGACACGGACGAAGGGGAACGACGGCATACTGAATAACAATCGCAAATAGTCGCTTTCTTCTAGATATTACATGGTAACAAGTAAACGATGGTCACAAACGATAACGAGGGGGTTCGGTATGTACAGATGTGATGTGTACCACGGTGACCAAACGTCGGCGTAGTCTTGAAACAAGTAACGTTGGGGCTCGGTTTCGAACCGTATACGATGGCCGCCAGGCTTCGACGAGTAACAAATGAGAACTCGATACACCCACCTCCCTAAGCGTGGATTTCGCCCTCCTCTCGCTGTTGGCCGCAACACAGGAAGAGGCGGCTACTGCAACGCAGGGGATGAAATTCTTGCGTAGTGCAGCGCGCGGAGACTCTCAGCGCCTGCAGTCGCAGCAGCAAGACGCCCCAACGACCACGGTATACTCTCTCGTCGATTTTATGGCTCCTTCGAATGGCAAGAAATCTTCGCGGCGGACGCAGGCTTCAGAGCAGCCGAAGGCTGTTCATGCGTGGAAGAGCGAGGCGGTGGGGCCAGTCGAACCGAACAGCCCCAGCAGCCCTGCAGAAGCAAAAGAATTCGAGCCTTTGCGGACTCGAAAGAGCTTTCACGAAATTCTCGAGGAGGAGGAGCGAGAGAAATTAGAGCGAGAAGAGTACGGGAAAAATGCTTGGTTCATTCCGGGGAAGGGAAAGCCGCGGTCTACGTCGTTCGAGGGCATTGTCCAACAGCAACGCCGGGAGGAAATGGTGGCAGAGGAAGAAAGGTTGCGGCAGATGGAGGAGGAGATGTTGGGGTTGGCGCTCGAGATGTCGAAGCAGGAGGCGCAACCTACCCGTGCCCAATCACGCGGCAGCGGAAGCAGGAAGGGGCGAGAGGGCCGCGGTGGAAGGAAGCAGGAGTCCAGGGCACCGCGCAAGCGTCCTTCGGCGAGCGCTAAGGGTTCCCAACCACCCGGTGATGTGGAAACAAGAGCTAGGGGTTCCCAACCACCCGGTGGGGTAGAAACAGACCCGCGTGGGCAGAGCCGAAATGGTCGAAGCCGGCGTACGAAGCGGTCCCCTGCGGTGGAGAACCAAGCGGCCGAGCCGACAGTAGAGTCTTCCGGTTCGCGATAGTTCGTATTGTAGCCCCCCATTGCTGGGTATGCAGAAGCTTGGGGGCGATAGTCCTCTGTACCACCAGAGTTTAGACAGAGACAACGATAGGGGGGAGGGGGAGGGAAGGACAGAGTTAAGTGAATGAGAGCCAAGAGAGATGCAGAGAATAAGCACGAGACGAAGGAGTAAGGAGAAACGGGGACACACACAAGGGCCTTGTTCTGTATCGTTTTCGGAGGACCCTGTACAATTTTGGAACCCAGTTTTAGGAACGGGAAAGCCCTCAATCTCTGAGACATGATGCCTCCTTGGCGATACTCGGGCCTAGTCACTACGGCAGTTAGTTGGGCGAATCAAGTTGGCGTGATCTTTACAGATACCATCCGGCGGGTGACTGTTGAGGGGTGTGGTGGGCCCGCCGTTCGTAGAAATCCAGGGGTTGTTGATGTCATAAGGATGAGAGTGGTCACGGTAAGCGCATTTGGTGATACGACACTGAAACTTGGGACTATCTCGGTTGTTCAATGTTTACAGTAGCTTCGCGTTCTTCCAACGTACACGGTAGACGAGTTCATACGAAGAGCACTATTAATATATCCTTGGGAAGTATGAGGAGGGTTTTCTGGCACATTTCGCGTGCACGGCCCATGTATATGTATTGAGGGGTGCAAGTTGATTGATGGGATGAAAATGTCTTGTTCCAAGTGTCAGGATTAGTCAAGGGTAAGAACCACGGAGGGACTTGTGTTGGCGGAATATTAGCGTTGTGTTGGGAAGTTGATGTGTTGGGATTCGAATCCCGGCGAAAGTAGTTTTCTGTCACGCAAGACAATACAGCCCTAGTTAGACTAGTATCCGGTTGTGCGATTAATTCCGAGAGGGGCTGCTGGCAAACGGGAGTCATGTAGCTCGGTGGATTTCGTCTTTTTTTGTGGACGTGGGTTGGAACTGTTGAGAGGCATCGTACACGAGTAGGTAGTTAGCACCTTGCTTTGCATGCCTTGCGATATTGTGAATTTTTACATTGACGACGAACTACGAACGCGCAATCAATCGCGTTGGTTTCATTTCCAGGCTGTGCTGCCTCTCCAGACGAAATCGTCCTCCCCGTCGAGAAAAGGAATCGATTTGCTCTGTATGTATCGGAGCCTCCGGTATATGCCGGAGAATGGCGTCCTAGAACGAGTTTTCGTCGGTATGAAAAACGGAGACCGGTTCTAGAAACGTTTCGGCGAGACCAACCGCGAGACCAACCGAACGAAATAAAACATTTTTCAAGATAAACGATGCGGCGCATCCTGTTTCACCGCAAACATCGCCAACGCAAGCCTCGTTCTCCACGGTAATCGACTCCGCTTGGTCGAATAACACACAGAGGACACCACTCTCGAGTTCATCAGACCTGATCTCGTTCTAGGACGGCCGTCCCGGCTTGGGCCTGGCCGTGGCTTGTGGCAGCCTCATGCAGGTAGACCGCACAATCGAAATCCGAGGGAAAGAGAGGGTAGTGAGACAGCAGCGAAAGAACATCCGCGGGATCTGCTAATCAGCCAGCTGTTGAGAAAGGGTACCACCGAGGCAGCTGGAAAACCCGTGCAATCTGTGGTTGCTGATGAAGTTGAGCTCCTCGAAAAGGGTAGAGAGCATGTTGGAGGCATCCGAGAGAGAGCATCGAAACGCGGGAAACGACAGCGCGCTGCTGCTGCTGCTGCTTCATCTGCTGCGGCGAATGAGGCGAAGCGCAAGGGGGCGGACGCAGCTCTCTCCGACCCTCTAGCATTGGCTCACGATGGCAGGACTAGAAGCGGTGCTACTCCAGCTACTTCACGGGAGGAAGCGGTGAGTATTAACTCACTTCTGAGGTGCTGCTGAAAGGTGTTCTAGTGCTTGATTGACTGCGCTATACTTTGCGCGCCAGTTCGTGCCGGCTGCTCCATTCTTGAATTTGAAATTTGGTACACGCGTTGCCCGTCCTCTTTGCCCCCACGAATTGAGGTCAATTCCACCACGTCTACATCTTAAGCACAGAAAGCGCATTAAAAGTTGCACGGGTTTGGTGACTGCTGTATCTGCTGCAATGACGCTGCTACCGTGGTGTTGATTTGTCGCTCACTCATGTGTTCCCCCGACTCCTCCAATAATTACTGATACGTTGTACGCAGGTTGCGGAGGAGCGTCGCGCTAGCGCGATGGATTTGATGCAGAACGACCCCGTGTTGAAGTTATTGGAGGAGACGGGGGAACACATGAGTGAGCGACAAATAAACACCACGGTAGCAGCCTCATTGCAGCAGTTACAGCAGTCACCAAACCCGTGCAACTTTTCATGCGCTTTCTGTGAGCGAGTACGGGCCATGCTGGATGCTGGCGGAGCAGGCAGCAGCTAAGGTGGCTGCGATCGACGCGGCCAACAATCGTGCACTCCGCGCGTCGTTGCAAGCGCTGAAGCAGCACTGCAACAGCTCGATAGGGTGGACCACGTATCAGACAGCGCTCGCTGTAGCAGCCGGAGCGGGAGAGCACACGTGTACTGACACGGACGTGTGCCACC